TGGTGCCATGTCCACGCCCAGGATCCAAACCCTGCGCCACCGCAGCGGAGCGCGCGAACTTAACCACTCAGCCACGGAGCCAGCCCCTATATATTATAATATATTATTGAACATGACAAGATTCAAGCCTTAGTGAATTATTTGAATCCGTAAAGTTGAGAATGCCTAACTTCAGTTTTTTAAAATGCAGTGACTCGTATCATTTTTTTCTAATCCAAGTTTTCTTCCCAAAGTTTGCATTTTCATTTTAAAATGGGGTTCACAAGTTCAGATCCCTGGCACAGACTTGGCACCGTTTGTCAAGCCATGCTGTGGCAGTGTCCCACATAAAATAGAGGAAGGTTGGCACAGATGTTAGCTCAGCAATAATCTCCCTCACACACACACACACAGTCAGCCTCCAGAACTGGTATTACTGTCCGATGAAAACTTGAGTAGATGAAATCCCCAGTAGATGGCCATTTCAGGCAAAGAAAAAAAACGTCTTCCCACCTCCCCCTCTGCATCTCCGCACCTCGCCCAGGGCTGGGAACACTGGGGCATATGATGCGTGTTTTCCAGGGAAATAAATTGGTTACTGAATATGCATTCTTTATAAGGTCCTTTTACATTTTCTTAAATCCAAATCTTTTAGCTTTCAAGAAAAGGCAGATATCAAAATGTTGGATGAAATCCCACAACCATTAAATATTAGTAAATAAACTAATAAAAAATGTTTAAGTATAATTTCTGCTGGCCAAAGCCTTCATGTTTCAACTTCGAAAGTATATTCTTTTCTTCCTTTTTTTCCTCAAAAACAAAATGGGTTAAGAAACAACATTTGTAGTTGCCAGAAACTAGATTGACTCTTGTGGAAGCAATAAGGGTTTATTAAGGGATATGAGAGGCTCAAAGAATGGCTGGACTCAAGGGAGAGAGACTCCAGCAAGAGCTTCCAGGAAGAGCGCCCAGGACTGCTCCAGAAGACGGGCTTGCTAAGGGAAGCCCAACGACTCTGTCACCATGGGGAAGCCGTCACCACCCATGACCCCGGAAACATGCTGCTGCTTCCATCGTTGGCATCCACCAGCTGGAAGCCGTATCCTCTGTCTGCTTCCTTGACAACACCTCACACAGGTGTGTCTGTGGAGGAGAGCGCAGTTCACACCCCCATTCCACGGGGCCGGGGAAACTGGCAACATCGTTTTCTGGGTTCTGTGTTGGGGATATCGAATCACAACAGGAGTTACTAGAAAAATGTACAGTTGCAAACTGTAATAAACTGATGGATGGTTTCAAAAACTTGATTCCATTTCCCCCTGGGCACACAGCTGTACTGCATGTCCCAGCATCCTTTGCAGTTTGGCAAAGTCACATGACTAGGTTCTGTCCAATGGGAGTGGCAGAGCCATGTGAGCTACTTCCAGACTTGGCCCACAACCTCCACCCACAATCCTCCTCCTCCCCTCTCTCCCCATCAGCTGGCAGGATGCACAGAACCAGCTGAGGACCCTCAGGCCCTAGGGATGACAGAGCCCTACCATGAAAGGGACCTGGGTCCCTGAGTGACTGTGTGGAGCAGAATACCCCACAACCTCAGAGCTAACTGGACTCTGTCTGGGTTAAGCCACTGAGATGCAAGAGTGTATCTGTGGGGGCTGGCCTGGCAGTGCAACGGTTAAGTTCATGCATTCCACTATGGCGGCCTGGGGTTTGCTGGCTCAGATCCTGGGCTCAGACCTACACACTGCTTGTCAAGCCACGCTGTGGCAGGCGTCCCACATAAAAAGTAGAGGAAGATGGGCACAGATGTTAGCTCAAGGCCAGTCTTCCTCAGTAAAAAGAGGAGGATTGGCAGCAGATGTTAGCTCAGGGCTAATCTTCCTCAAAAAAAAGAGAGTGTATCTGTGTCTGCAGCTAGCATCATTTTAAACTAGTACAGGGCAGACCTGAAAAATAGATAAATGTCCTGTAAGTAAGCACTGTGCCTTCAGCTTTGAGTTAAAGCTTCAATCCCTAAAACTTCCAGGCTTCTTTAAAGTAATAATCCCCAACACCCCAATGATAGTTATTACGGGTTCAGAAATCTATCAGTGTCCAGTCTTTACTCCCCCACACACCAAATATTTATGGATATGTCAGTGCCATGTAGTAGGAATCACCCAATAAGCAGGTTTCAAAATGCAATGGAATAAAATATTGAACACTGTACAACAACCAAATCCCTTATAAAACCTTGTAAAACCTTTGTCAAGAAAATGCACCAAACTTACTTTATGATCTGCTCTATTAGGTATCAAAATGTTTGCAAATTTAAAAGCTTTCGTGATAGAGAAAATCATTTCTTTTCCTTTATGGGTCATTTACTTTTCTGCATGTTAACAGGTAAAAAAACCAAAAACTGACATTTACTCTAATATGCTACTTGACATAAATATGCATGGGTCTCTAGCACATTGCTCCCAGGAGCCCAGGGCGTGCACACTCAGGGCGTTTGTTTCCTACAGGCCCCAGAGAGGGAGCTGTAAACTTTCACGAGTGACCCTAAAGGTCACCCCGAAAGTTCCCCGTGGATGAAATGTCCAGTTCAGTTGTTCTCTTTCAAGTAATCCAGACACTAATCTCTTACCACATTTTAGGAATCAGAGGAAGATCTTAAAATGTTTAAATGTCACAAGCGTAATTGTTAATGGCATACTTAAGACTGGGATCCTTTATGATGCAGAAAACCACGGACCCTGCCTTTAACCTTCTACTCTCTGATCCTTGTATTTGGGCTGGAAAGGGAAGCGGTGGCGTTTGGAACTCATTGTGTGTGACAGTCAGCTTTAAGAGAGCCTGATGAAGGTCTCGGGTTCTGGCTTTGGGAAACTTGGGTAAAAATCCTGACTTCACCACTAAAGTGCTCTGTGACCCGGGGAACTTAGGTTCCCGCTCTCGGCCTCAGTGCCCTCATCTATAAAATGATTAAACCAAAGACTCCTGGGGGATTGAATGAGATAAAATATCTGAGGCACCTGGGGCAGAGCCCTCCACAAAGTCAATGTTGAGCAGCCATTATTTTATTGGGACGTGGAAACAATTTTAAACATCCCCATGTGTTTGGATCCAAGAGCAGAACCAGCAACATGCAGCTCCATTTGTACACATCTCCAGAGAAAAGAGCTCGGCAGCGTTTAAGGGATTTCTTTCATTCTTCCCTTTGCATTGAGCAACCACAATGGGCCAAGTAAAGACACCCAAAATACTGCCCTGAGCCTAGCAAGGACTTTGCGGGCGTTTGGTGGTAACTTTCATTGTCCCTTTTTCTTTCCAGGGCTCACCCTTCCTCCCAAAATTGCCCTCAAGAAGGCAACAGTAGCCTAGTGACCCCAAACAGGTCTACCCTCTGACACACCATCCTCCTTAAAACAACACACAATTGTTATTTTACGGTTCCGGAGAAAAGGAGTCAGACCTCGGTCTCATGGGCCTAAAATCAAGATACAGCTCGGACCAGGTCCTGCTGGAGTCTCCAGGCGAGAATCCGTTTTTCTGCCTTTTCCAGTTTCTAGGAGCCTGGGAGGGGCTATTCGTGTGCAGGGGCAGCTTCACACTTTTCCTCTCCCCAGCCCCCTAACTCCACCTTCCTCTTCTGCAGAGTCGCCCATCCCCACCCATACCCTGGGACATGGGACAGGACACCTATGACACGGGCCTCTCAGAGACACGGCAGAGCTGGGAAAGTGACAAATGACAGGAATGATCAGCCATTCATGTCCATCACGTGCCTGGCATTCCCGGGACCTGGCCAGACAGAAAACAATGCAAACCAAAGTGCATTACACTGTGTGTAATGTGGAAACAAGTCAAAAACGCATGTACACAATCCTCTGTATTTCCTGTAGGTCCTTACAAATGTAGGAAAATACCCAGATGGGGTCAGAAAGGATTCACGCCAGAATAACAGCAGTGGGAGGTGAGCAACCGCTTCCTGTTTAGAAGGGTACTGCTGTCCAGTTCACCAAGGTCCCTCCACGCTCCACGACGTGCCTTCACCTGAGGGGAGGTGAGCTCCAATCCATCCAGCCTTGGGTTCCGGTTTTGCTTTTACTTGAAACAGAGTCAAGAGGAAAGTGAGTTTTTCCCTTGTGTCTCCTTTCTAAAGTGGGTGAAAGAAATTCTGACCAAGGGAGTCAATTGTTCCCAGAAAAGCGGTAGAGCTCGTATTTCTTTGCAAAAGTAAAGAATAACTCTGAGGGTCCATATGCCAAAAAAACATGCCCCTTTTAGAAATTACTAGGGCCTTCCCAGCTTTACCTGGACACAGAGTTGAAGCCACAGACACTGTGGTGGACACAAGCGTGGGTTGAGGTCAGTGTTGGAAGTCTCTTGCTCTTTCTGCTCCTCTGTGTTTAGATGAACCTAATAAAGTGTTATTTTTGGATAACTATGCTTGAATAGATTGTTGAAATGTCATTTAGCCCCAGGACAAATGAAAAATGGCAGCTGCTGGCCTTACAGAGGGTCCAACCAAACTGGTGTTTATTCTCTCCCAACTCCGCAGAATTTCCAGTGTCTGGAAACGTGAGAAAATGTATTCTTAGAGGCTGATGTCTATATTTTATATAATTTGTTGATAGGCATTAAACAGGAAAATAAAATTAGAGTTGTATAAAAGATTAAATCTGTCTTGTCTTCCATCTGTTTATGCCATTCTTTGTCAATGTACATTTCCTCAATAGACAAGGTTTTCAAAAATTTCATTTAAAAGTGAAAAAAAGACAACACCAAACAAGGTTGCACTACCTGGAAAACTGTCATACCCATGGCATCTTTAGTGAAAAGGCTGTATAGAACGAGCCACACTGTTCTCAGACAGATCCTGATTCACATCTCCAGCGCCATTGGAGAAAGCCAGCCCACCCGCAGCCCTGAAAGGAACCTCCCTACTCTTCTACTACATTGTGACCTCATCTCCTGGTCACAGATGACTGGCTGAGAAGGAACCGCCTGACCTAAGCCAAGCCAATCAGATTCTCCCTCCTTGAAATTCCATCCACCAATGACACAGGCTTAGTCTGGACCAAGGAACCCCAAAGCCATGGGGCAGCAGAGAAACTGGAACAGAGAAACGGGGATGACAGCAGAAAAACACTGGAGAACGATAGCAGTAATACGTCGACTCATTAGGCACATACTGTGTCCCAAACTTCACTCTAAGTGCTTCAAATATTGACATATTTAGTCTTCACAGCAACATGTAAGGTAGGTATTATTATAGCCATTTGACGAATGACAGAATTGAGGCACAGTTTGGACATAAAAACTCAGAGAAAGAACAAATAGCAGGATGCCATTTGGTGCCAGAGACAGAACGATTGATTAGCTGCTAATGATTAAGGACTCAGCGGGATAAAACTGATAAAATCGTGCTTCACAGAGACAACGCTCCACTGCTCTGTTGTCTGCTTTTCCACGGAAGGCGGCATCTCCCTCCCGCTGCCCGCAGACCATGAGAAGATTTGCTGACGGGCTCCAAGCCCTCATCTGAAGGCTGCGCCACAGGCCACAGGGTCTGCGAAATGAGCGTTGGGTACTCCCACCCTTCTTACTCCTTCAGGTCCAAGAAGATCAAGTTGAGTCCTTCACACCTTCATCTTCAGCCTTCACCCGAGGGTGAGCACACCCTTCCCGCTCTCCAGCTGGGCACAAGGCAAAGTTTATACGGACCCGCCCTTCCTATGCCACCTAAGCCACGAAGCCAAGTCTCACTGTGTCTCGAAGCCTCCCTCAAGCCTTCAAGGCACACCTGACTTCCTAGGCTCTTATCACCCCACCTTCTTCCTAGAAACCAATGTAACGTCATGAAGTTGTCACTTGAATTAACTGTGATCCTGGAGCCCTAAAGGTTGGGAAATATGGCTGCTGAAGGCATTTCCCTCTAACGGCTCCAGAAAGTGGACAAGAAGGTTAACAAGTGGTTGTAAAACGGTCAATTTGCAGGTTGCTGGATGCAGCAAAACAATGCCTGATGGCACCCAGAATCTTTCGCAGTGAGGAAGGAGGGATTTCTTGAGCATCAAGTCTCTCCCCTAGAGTCCATCTCGCCGAAGAAGTGCCTCTCGCGCAAACCCTGGTGAGGTGTCTGCCTCCAAGGCTGGCGGTGAGGAACGTTGATGGAGCTCCCAGCGTTGTGTCAAATTCGTCCATCAGCAGCTTATTGTCAGCTCCTGCGTGGGAGGCCCCGGTCCAGGCACGCAGACAGAGCAGGGACAAAGCAGCCCATCCTGCCTTCACGGAGCTCACGGGTGAGGGAGGAAGACAGAGATGCTCATAAAGAAGGAAAATATAGTGTACATCACATGAGCACAGACACAGGCAAATAGAGCCGGGACAGGGATAGCAATTTTTGTGGGTGGGGATGGAAATTTTAAATAAGGTAGTTAGGAAATGCTTCCCTGAGAAGGGGACGGTTGAACAACTTAGAGGTGGAAACACAGAAAAGCCAAATAATATTATGATGATGATGATCACAATAGTAATAATAATAAAAAACACCTACATTTACCTATATAGTACTGCCTATGTGCCAGGTACTGTCCTCACAGTTTACCTCACTGATTTTTCGTTTACTGATAAATAAACTAAGGATCAAGAATTAAGAGCTTGTCCAAGGTCACAGGGCAATAAGCTGGTGGTGACCCAGCTAGTCGGGCTCCGGCGTCTGTGCTCTGTAGCACAGCATCCCTCTGCCTTCCCCGTGATCCAGTGGGGAGTGGACAAGGTGGCGAGTCTGCAGCCGTGTAGACGGGGCTTGAGAGTCCTGCCTCTGCTGCCCACTGGCCAGAGGACACGGGAGACCACTTCCTTCTTGCTCCTCATCAGTGTGTCTGTGATAATAACAGGACCCTCTTCACAGGGTTTTTGTGAAGTTTAAACGAGTTATGGATATAAGAGTCTTACATGGGTTGCTGGCACAGGGCAAGTGCTCAACAAAGAAAGTCATTCTTATTAATATCACCATTATGGTTAGTACCTTTTAAATCGTCGGTAGGAGGGGTCAGCCCCATAGCATAGCAGTTAAGTTCGTGCACTCTGTTTAGGCAGCCCAGGGTTCACCAGTTCAGATCCCGGGGGTAGACCTGTGCACTGCTCATCAAGCCATGCTGAGGCAGGCATCCTACATATAAAGCAGAGGAAGATGGGCACGGATGTTAGCTCAGGGCCAGTCTTCCTCAGTAAGAAGGGGAGGATTGGCAACAGGTATTAGCTCAGAGCTAATCTTCCTCAAAAACAAAAATAAATGAAAAATAATAATAATAAATCATGGGTAGGATGCAGGGGAAAGCAATCAAAGTCACCCTCAGTGGAGAGCAGTTCAGGAAACCCTTGTCTGCCATCTCTGTGGAGTCTTTCACGAGCTCTCAACCTTCCCACATTTCTGACTTTTTCAGTCGATAAACAACATGTCCAGAGAGATTGGTGGTTCTGTTCCCAACCATCAACAGCGACTGATGGGATGAGCAAACTGGAGGAAAGCGAAGAAGAATGAAATCCTGTGATTACCCCTGGGGGTCCCATGGGAAAAAGTATGTCCTTGTAACACCACCCCATGGGCAGGAGATGGCAGCTCAGATGCTTACTATCAAAGACAGCATCAGTAGTCTTCAGTTCTCTCCATAGAAAGGGCATAAGTTCTCTGCTTTAAAGTTTAGCAGGATCGTCAATCTTACAGCCTCTATTTGGAATAATTTGGCAAATGCCCACAGCAAGAAAACACTAGCCTAAAATGGGCCAGCAGGCCGAAGGAGAGAAAGCTAGAGAGTATTACCTTTATTTTCGACATTATAGGACCGTGACAATATCTATTAAGTTCCCAGGAAATTACGATTATTTTACCTTTCTAAAGACGCTCTTGAGTGGTCCCTGATTTCATTAGCAGCAGCCTCTGAAAAAACAACAAACCTTATTGGCTGAGAAATTCAAACTCTAACCGCCGACAGGCACATTAGAGGGGACAGGACGAGAGGCGTCTGGTAGACGGAGGCAGAGAGAGGAGGAGCTGCGGTGAATGACGGAAAAGAAGCCGGCTCTCTCGGGAGGGATGTGAGTCGGGCTCATGTGAACGGGTACCTGTTTTTCTCTAATTTACACAGTTCAATTTCCACTCTTTGTGACTTCAAGAAACAAAGTAAGTTATGTGAGCCAATTACCTATGTGCATTTTCCTCTTCATTTCTCTCGGGCAAAATTCTGATTTAATTTCAATCCATAGGGCAGTTGGGCCCATCACATTTGAATGAACGTGGTTCTTTGGATGTGAGACGGCGCCATCCCAGATGCCTCCTCGGTGCACTATTGTGGATTTGGAGAGAAACATAATGGGTTGTACTTTTAGTGTTCAGCAAATGGTCTCAGAATGGCCCCCAGGCTCGCAGATGGATTCGGTAGCTGGCATTCCAACCTTACAGCATACGTGGAATTCTGACTTGAGGACTTTGGAACGATTCCACAGTATCTGAGATAGCTGTGTCAGTCCATCAATATCCACACGAAAGTCTAGGAAAATTAAAATTCACGAATCCAGGAAGTCAGGACATCTGGTTTACCCGTCGCTCTCCCTCCAGCTCTGCTGCTGCACATGCCCCCATTTGCTCGGCGGTCATCACGGTTTCACGCAGACGGGATGTCTTGCTGTCGGGACTAAACACACTTGACTCAATCAACAGAGTTATTGTTCTGAGGCCAAAACATCTCCGACTCATAACCTGGCTGTTGTTTTCCATATTAAATGAGTGTGGCATTAATTTCTAGCCCTGCCTTGGTAGAACGGAGAGGCCAGCACTATAAGAAGATGGAAAAAATAAAAATAGCATCCTCTGCGCACTCCCCTGACATACATTCTCATTTCACCAGTCACACCACAGCAGCGGAACAAATATTACAGGCCTGTGTAAAGTTCTAGAACTGACGCAATAAATGACAGGAGCGTCCTATCCTCAGCTATTCTCATTTAAGATGTTTCTTCTCTAATGTGTTTCTCCCCTGAGTCTTTGTGAATCCACTAAAGTAAAAACCTTTAAGAATGTGAAATTCATTGGAAGCTGTCCTCCATTTAAAGCACAGAAATTGCTGGCTCTCACAGTCTCCGCTCTGTCAGTTTAATTGGACACAAACACGGGTATTTGCTGCGGCAGTCACTAAGCAGCACTGTAAAACTGGCACGCCAGCTTGGAAACCCTGCCTGAGCACTGTGCTCACTCTCCTGCTTTTTTACTGCCCCTCTTCCTCCTCAGCACAGCTCAGGCCTGCACGCCTCCAATTACTGCCTTTCTTCTAGAAAGGAGTCAGAAAAACCACCTTTACCACCTTCTTCTTTTCTAGGACCCAAACCCAGACCGATAGGGCATTTGCCCCCCAGCAAATAATAATCAAATCTTGGGACCTAGGGTGTTTTCACACGGCTGCTCGTTGGCCGTGGAAACTGACTCCTGAAAGAAAGAGGAAAATTCAGATGTGACCTCAGTCTCTAAATGTCATCACCTTTAATCCAGCAGCTCTGAAGGGGAACTAACTACCCAGAATCCTTTGTCACATTGGTGAGGCGTTCCAGGGTCTGGGAAGAAACTGATGTCACTGAAGCCTGCTTCCTGGGAAAGGAGAAAAAGGCCATAAGTGGAGCTAACGGAGAGTAAGAAGGGATGGTTGTTGTTTCTTTTCTTTTCTTTTCTTTTATCTTCTTTTCTTTTTACACTTTTGTATTCAACCCCTTTCCAAGCTCCCACTTCGCCTGAGGTCAGATAGAATTCTGCATGTAAACCATGCAAAATAGGTTTTTGGTGCAGCAAACAACAGTCAAAAAATCCTGCTCTTTATTCCCAGCAGAAGTAAAAGGCTCCATGAGCAGTCGCATTTAAACGCGATAACCACCACAGTCAGAGCAAGGAGGGTGTCTGCTTTGGGCACCGGTAAGTCCCAGCGCAAGACCGTGACTGTTACAAAGTGGGTGATTATCAAATATGTTATGAAGGAACGAGTAAGTAAATGAAGACACGAAATGTAGTTCCAAACTTATTTTTATTTCTTTCTTCCCTCGGTGCATACACATCTGTGCTGTCTTTCCTGTTGGCAGCTCAGCTCCACCATCATCTTCTTCTGAGCCTGGGAGCTACATTTCCTGTGTCCATTCCCCTCTAAGCTACCATTTAGAGTTTGAAGTAAGGGGAAGTCAGGAGAGATTGGGCTGGCAGAAGAGAGCAGAGCCATTGTCGCTGGGAGGCCACGCTGGGCAGCCGCGGTTGCTTTATAACCCTGTCCAGGAGCTCCGGCCTGTGCTCACAGCAGCTCGCTGAAACTCTCCATGAGACCCTGCTTCTCCAGCACTGCAGGGGAGGTTCTGAAAATCAGTGGCTTTTTCTTTGACGCTTCCGCTGCGTCCTCCATGAGCTTCCCTCTCCCACCTTACCCCAACCCATAATGTGTAAGATCTAATTCCTGTTCTAAGTTTCTTATTCCTGTAAAGCTTGCAGTGGACTCTATTTTCTATCAAATCTAAGTCCTAACTAATGTAACATGCTGCAATGTCATATATACATATATAAAATCATTTTCATTTTATCAGAGTCACTGCCCCCCCCCCCCCCAAATTCTAACTGTGGAATTCTTCCCTGGCATCTGCTCCTTGGAGTTAAATCTTGAGCAGTTTCTGGAAGGATAGTTGGAAATTGTATTGATTAGAGGAAGGAACCTATGCTAGTGGTCTGCGCCACAGGATCATCATTGGGGGTGTCTGTGAATAAGAGATGGTTCACTGCTCTAAATGTGTTTAGCTGGAAGTAACCAAGCAACCACTCAGCAAACAAGTTAGCCATAGGGAGACTTGGTAATTATTCAGTAAGATGTCTGGCAGTGACAGCAGCATTGGTTCAGAATCCAGGAGATATCAGCAAGGTCCAAGACTCTTTCTGTACTCCAGTCTTCCATCATCAGCCTATTGGTTTACTCAGAAGGTGTGTACCTCATAGTAACAGGATGGCTGCCACAGCTCCAGGCATCAAGTCCTCACAGTTCAGGCTTAAGCATCAAGATGCATAGTACACAGTGCAGACTGAGAGAAGAGAGTACAAAGAAGGGTCTTCTTCTATTACCCTTTCTTTTATCAAGGAAGCCTATTTCTCAGAGGGTCTCTCTGTATCTCTCAGTGGCCAGAACTGAGATCCATGCCCCATCCTAGACCAATCACTGGCCCAGGCAAATGAGATCATATGATTGTTGTAGAACAATGATGACAGATACACTGTAGGCATCCATCAGCATCAGAAACAAAGTTGGGGCGGGGCACGTATTTTTGGGGTTTCACATGATGAGCCAGATGGTTTTCAGTGTGATATAACTGAAGCTTAACGGCATTTGATGGCACAGCAGTGACATAGCTCCCTTCTGATTCTCACTGGCTTGTGCTAATCACATCGCGGAGTCTCAGTCTGCTGCTCCTGTGTCTTTAACACCAGCGGGACGTTTAGGAACCTCCCTCTTGACTAAGAGGAAGCAGGACTCAGGCGCAAAGGCTCCGGCAGACAGTAGCATCTAACACGGTAGTTTCCCCGGGGGTAGTTAATTTACGGCGCTCTACGCACAGCAAGTGGCGGTGGTTTTCCATTTGTAGTAGATGTCATTTCCTTTTGAAATATGTGTATTGATGTTAAATAAGCATGTTTGAAGATAACTTTAAGTAAACAGCAACATTAATAATACTGTATACTGCATTGTGGTAAATATTTCATTGTGGTAAATAAGACAAAAGTCATCAATGTGGCATAAAAAGCTGGAAATTAGGAAATGTCATCTTAAGGAAGAGTGGGAACATTAGCAGCTTCTGGAACACCCTAGAATTTACATGAGAAAACTGAAAACCACGTCCAAGTGAATTTCTCAGGCAAAATCAATGGAAATCTGAGCTCTTTGCCATGACTTTCTTTCCCCTGACACTACCCTGCTTATTCAAAGAAAATCCACAACAAAATCTCCCGTTGTGATGAATTGGCTCATTAAGTAATATTTATCGTTTTCTCTTTCTCTAACGCCACGCTGGCGCCTCTCACTGCCTGTGGTTGGCTGTTACCACCATTACTTTTGTTTCTGAAAACAAGCCAAGACGTTCGAGGCCATGATTAAAAATGCTCTTTTATGAAATTTGACACTGAAATGCCAGAGCACTACATGAGCTACTGTGTGTTCCATAATTACTGAGGCTGCAATTTACTAAAGTCATGGCTAGTAAAGCAAGGGTTCACACCCTCTCACACTTTCTGCTTTGACCTAAATATTTCCTAGGTCCTTGGTCTCATAAAAAATATTGGTTTGGTTCACTGTGTGTTACAACAGTGTTTCGCAATGTGGGGCGAGCCCCCGTGGGTGGTGTGCCGTGTGATTTTAGGGGATCCCCAGATAGAACATTAGAACTTAGAATCACAGAGTGAGAAATTTTATTCCCTTTTCAATTCTCTTTCAATCCCCTCCGTTATAAGGAGGAAAGAATTCTCCTTATGAGGGCAGAAACCTTTAACAGCTCTAGCAGTTGCTAATACCCCTTCTTAACCTGGAGAGACCTGGCCTTAAGCCCGGTGCCTTTGCAGGAATCAAAATCTAACTAGAAATGTGTGGGTTGGTAGCAGTTATATCTTGTTTCACTTGAGTTATCAGAGTCCCCACCAAGAGCCCAGTAAGAACAGACGTTTTTAATTCCCACGCACGCAGCAGTCTGCAGGGGGTGGCCTCAGGGCTTGTCAGCAGCTGGAAGATGTCAGAGATCTCGGGCTGTGTCTTTGCAACTCTGTTGGCCATTCCTGAGTGGATGCCAAATGGGAGACGTCAAACATCAAACCCTCAGACATTAGCCTCTCAAATGTGGCGCGAGGTGACCCCAGGAAAGGTTTTCTCCTGGAAACACTGGCTTATCTGGGAGCTTTCCCCCATTTCTCAGCCCCCTCTGTCTCAGGGGCCAGAACTGAATCTCACGCCCAACCTGGGTCCAGTCATGGACAAAAGGGGTGGAGCCACCCTGGCTTAGACAGCCATGACCTACACAGTGGTGATCAGGGCACGGTCAAGGCCCTGTTCCAGCGGGACCCGTGGGATGTATGAAGATGTATGAAGATGTATGAAGTATGCTTGGTATTTGTGTAGCTCATTGTCCTGTCTCCACCAGCAACGCACTGAATCCATCCCACAGAGCAGAGAACCTCTTCCGCCCTCAGAGGCCTTCTGGGCACCACACTCTGGGTCTGAATTGTCTTTAGCATGAAAAGTACAGCCAAAGTGATGCCATTCCCCAGGACGAGCTCGGGCTCCCTGCTACCTGAGGCCAGGCTACTGCGCACGTTTCGACTCCAGTGTAAACAACTTCTGGCTGCCCTTTGACTGTTCTTGAGCCTAAGATTTTGTGTAAAAGAGGAAAAGGGTTCTTCAGGAAGAACCGACAGGTGCGGGGTAGTCTGAGTGTGACTGAGGGTGGGTTTCATGGCGTCTCTTGTTCCTTTTTTCCAAAGAAAACTCTATTGAAGACTCAGAAGTTCAGCTAAATCTCTTCAGTGCCGATGAAGGGAGATTTAAGACAGTGCTAAAGTTTGAATTATAAAATTTTGCAAAGAAACATGATCTTACTGTCAAATACAACAGCTAAGATAATCCAGACAAGGCTGATCAACATTGGGAAACAATCCTTTTAATGATTAGACAATAATGAATCATCATTATCCTTTTGGGTCAGTATAAATGGGGACCTGTTTTTATGTTTCTTTCTGTGTTTATTTTCCTTCAGACGCTGTAATATTCTCACTCTTTACTCTTGCTTGTACTATTACCAACTGTTTTGTTAATGAAATTATAGCATAACCTTGTTAATTCTCATAAATTTAATATCAGAGGCACCTTCCTTGATAGGCTGATGGTATTCTGAACAACAAATAGGAGACTATATTTTAAGAGAAATTTAGCCAACTCATGGGCTGCCATTACTGAGCTGCATCCATGCCCTGAGCTCTGAGTGAAACCTTTGGTCACCACACCAATTGTGCTGTGGGATCTACCATGACCCCATTTCACAGATGGGACCTGAAACAACACTGATGGGGGCTTCTGTAAAGCTTTTCCTTCCTTAAAGAAAAAGAAAGAAAACAAAACTTGCCATCCTCCTACCTTTAAATATACACGAGTGAGGATGTGATTGATGTGGGGAACTCTGGCAGCCATCTTGTGACCATGAGGAGACAAGACTAAGGATCAACGAAGATGCACTGGGTGCAGTAGAAAGACAGAGTGAGCCTGGGTCCTTGGAGACCTGCGAGAACTGCTGAACCAAACCTGAAACAGCCCAGCTTTAGGCTTTTTGGTGTTTTAAATAATAATCTTTTTTGTTTAAAACCTCTGGTTGAATAGTCTGTTATTATTACAAGGCAGCATTAGAGGATTCACAAAGGAGATGAGTTTTGAAGTGTGAACTTCCAAAATCTTTGAAATGGGTGAAAAAGATAGTCAAAGGTTGAATGCAACCTTTCCTGAGACCCTAAAAATGCAAAATGGAAAACACTGCCAATGAAGGTTAAGCATAAAGTTGACCCAGCACAACAGTCCTGCCTTTCCCAGAGCAATTTCCCAATGCTATCCCCTGCCTGTGTGAGTCTTTGTGAGTGCTGCTGTGTGTTCTCATGACACACTCAGGAAAATGGACAGACACCTCTGATGCTTTTACTCACATTTCAGAACTCTGACTTGAATTTATTGAGTGGGTAATGAAGAAAGACTTCCAATGATGAAAGACCGCCAGATGCAGACAAAATCATGAGCGTGTGATACTGAACAGGTGCAGGAATCTGGCTGACTTCTTTCCATCCCATGTGGCAGGTGCAATCAGCCTACACCACCAATTGCTAGAAGTTCATATAGAAAATGTGCACATGGATGTAGACAAATGGAAAAACATCCCATGTTCATGGATCAGAAGAGTAGATGTTGTTAAAATGTCCATACTACCCAAAGACATCCTTGGATCAAATGCAATCCTC